GGGCAACAGCCGGAGTGACAGGCGCCCTGCCCAATCAGAGGGAGGGCCCGTCAGGCTCCCGCGCGTGACGAGCACCCAGGCCGCGGGGTCCTAGTGCCCGCCGGGCAGCTGTGCCGCAGTGCCCCCTGCTGCCGGGGAGGAGGCGCCGCAGGTCCCACGGGCCGGCCCCGCAACCCGTTCCGGGCGGGGAGACCCGCACCCCGACCCGCCCCTCCGGAGCACCCGGGGCTGCGCCGGGAGCCACAGCCTCCTGCCCTCTGCTGCCGGCCCTGCCAGAGCCTGACGCTGCCCAGGGGGTCCCCGCCAGCTTCCCCTCCCCTTTCCAGCGACCCCTCGGGCCGCAGCCACAGGCACTGCCCGAATTCCAGCGTAGGAACGAGAAGAACGGGACACTGAAACCTTGGGGACGTTCTGAACTTTGCAATTACAACCAGCGGTTTTAATAGATCATAGATCTTCTAACATGATAGGTGGTAAGGACTGGCAATTCAACTCGTATCTTATACACAGGGAATTGGTTCCAATCACGGAAGTGGAGAACAAACATCTCTAAGGATCTTTAAGGAAATAACTTCATATGCAACTTGGTTATTGCTGGCATGGATGGACAAAAGAAGCAAAGCTCACATCTTTGGACATGACAGAGCCACCTCACTGATCACATTCTTGCCAAATACGCAGTAAAACTGCTCTGCCAGTCACCTTTAATAAAAGATGAACCATTTGACACGTTCCTCTGAAACTAAACCTATCTACACCACTGAAAACAATTCAACTTAGATCAACCCCCTTATTTCTTCATAAATGTGTAACAAAATGTCAGCTTTTAAGGTAAAAATATTTTTTGCCAATTGCTTCATGACAAAGCTTGCAGAGCTGCCTCTGGAGGTGTTGGTGAGGTTTTTATTTATCAAATGATACAGGAAGAAAGATAAACCATGCAGCTGGAATGCTGGAATAACAACGCGACGTGGTCACTGCATGTGCCACTCCACGCTTCGAAACAAACTTAAGCATGTTAAAAAGAGCAGAGGCTCTTACCAAAGATTAAACAAGCCACCAGCCAAGTCAGTCTTTGCCTTCAGATCAAAATGTGTGCCAGTCCCCAAGGGGCTGCTGACTCACCGGCAAGGCCAAGGCAGTGCCTGCCCACAAGCACGCTCCTCTTTGTTCTCCTTGTCATTCCCAAAGGTACTGGCAGTGCCAGCCCTCTGGCTCGTTAACCATGGGCTGGGGAAACTAAGAGAACTCAGGGCTATCAGGTTTTTCTTTGGCAAGTACCTTATCAGTGGAGTCTCTCAATTCTAACTCAGTGATCCGTGGTTTTGCGTGTCTCATGTCACGGACCCTGCTCAAATAGCAGCCCCATGAACAGCTGCGCTGGCAAATAAAAAAAGTGTTGCAAAACTGGCAAGAAGTAAGAACAAGCAGGCAGGGCTAGAGAACAGGCATTTTCTAAAGCCATCCTTACCAGAAAGAATGCAAAGTCACAGTCTCGAGGGAAGAGGCGATACATAATTTAGCGGATGATATAAATTCATCTCAATCTCCAGGAGAAAATAAAAACAAAACAGACTTTACCTTGTCTATAAAATAGACATGAAAATCCTGAAGGTGGAGAGGCACAGGCTACCCAGGCACAGTTTACCTCTTGAATTAATGCTTTTAAAAACAGGTTGGACAAGCACATCAAGAACATTTTTAACCCTGTCTCAAAGTCACACTTAGGCCAGCACTTCTGCATTTCCGCAAACAATTCAGCACGTAATTGGTTCTACTCTTTTCAACAGCCTTCATGAGACTACTGGCCCATTTTGTCTGAGACGTGCACAGACAATCTGCAATATACCACAGCATGGTTAAATTACTGTTTAAGTCACTTAAATTGAAGCTGCTTTGCATAGCAATTGAGTGATTAGCCCTTCAACTCATATCATAAAATGACAGTGAAAGCCTTTGCATAAACAGGGTAAAAGGTTGAAAACACAAGCAGCCTATTGTTGAAAACTATGTGATACAGAAAACCACAAATCCAGCTAATAATTCACACAGAAATTTATAAAGAAATAAAGATTCAGACCATGAGATAAGGTATCAATTCATCAAATACAACAGAGCTTAGGCATTTTTTCCTGGATCTAAGAATCTTAAATTAGTGAAGAACTTACAGCATATAATACACATCTTCTATTTCAACCAATTGCAAATATTTTTTTTTTAAATTACTTTTTTTTCTTTTGTCTATCCCAGCTACCATGATAGACCAGGTAAATAAATCACATTAGACAGTAATTTATGTGGTTCAGATACGCGGCAGTGTTTGGCTTTTATTTCAGGAGTAACAATGCTAGAATATCCAGGAAAACAGTTCATAGGAAAACAGTTCAGTGGTTTGGAGATACTGGAACTAACACATCACATTTAACAGTCAGCTTTGTTATACTTGGAAAAAAATCGGGTGTTTTGGACACATGTGGAACATGGGAAAAGTTACCCACATCTCATGTGCACCATAAGAGCAATCATGAAATAAAAAAAAATTGCCCATTCAGCAGAAGCGACATCATCACCACCAGAATGAGCCAGGCAGACACTTCAAATCAAGCTTAAAGATGCTTTCCATTAATTTTTAAATTTTAATTCCACTTTTGGAGCACTTCCTCAAGAAAGTATTTTCGGAAAACCTATACCAAAGTGAAGGTAATAATTCCAATGATAAATTAGTGTAATACTAAAGTGTAAACCAAAGCAAAATAATATTACTTCTGTTGACTTACTTTAGTAACTTGTTAATAACTATTCTTTGTTATTACAAATGGCAATGAGAAATTTCTTACACCAGTATGGTTTGAAAAATAATCTAAGTGCATTTTTTAAATGGATTTTTTGTTGTTTTTAATAGTTCCTACCACTGATTTCTCAAATTAGACAATTTCTTTCTGAGATGGAGATAATTCTCCTTCATAATAAAAAAACTCTTAACATCTATTTTTTAAGAATTAATTTGGAAATAAAATACATCCAACATCATCTATTAAAGGCTAAGATTGTCAAAAGCACTCTCTTTGTCATGGAAATCCCCCAGGTTTTTTTTCCTATTTATAATTTTACAGTAATTAAGTGTTCCCTTTTTCAACCACAACTGTTCTGTTGTTCTAAAACAGAAACTTAACACCACCTCTATTATGAACACTACACCTCTCAGAGGGTGAGGCTGACAATTTTTTTTAATAGAGAACAATCCTGAGGCATGAACATTCTATTCACTTGGTCACAACATTCAAAAGCATTAAGTAAACTGATAAGATACTGGTGCACTGCTTCACAGTTTCTGAATTTTGAGCTAAAATATATAGATTCATGAGGTATGCACAAGCAGATATTAAGACTTACACACACAGATGCTTGGAAACACAAGCCACAGAAAAGGAGGGCTGATCTCATGCAAGTTATTCCACTGGATTCCAGTATCTTGCACCAGTAGAACAAAGCAGGTGGGCTGTTGGACTGTCTCACTGCTATTAAAGCCTTCTTACACAGGGCACAAACCTTTTAGCAGGACTTGTAGCAATAGGACAAGGGGTAAAGGTTTTAAACCAATAAAGGGTAGTAGACAAGGTATATGACAGAAATTTTTTACAATGGGGGTGGTGGAACACTGGTTTGCCCAGGGAAGTGGAAAATACCCTATCCCTAGAAACATTCAAAGACAAGTTGTATGGGGCTCTGAGCAACATGATCTGGTTGGATGTGCCTGCTCATTGCAATGGGGTTGGACCTTTCTAAGTCCTGTCAACCCAAATAATTCTATGATCTAGAATCTGAATTAATGGAGGTATAATGACAGGAATTTCCATTGGCTTTTCCTTTTTTAAACAGCTTTATGGAAATAAAAGGCCACATAATCAGTATTACACAACCTGCTGCCTTCCCCCTTCTTTGTCTCTGTTGTGTCCCACAAAAATAAAGAGCAAAGTTCATATCAAGTACCACAATATTTTACTTTTAGGTGCTCTTCCCTCTCTTTACCCTTTTAGTCACATATCACATAGCATCATATCTTAATTTCCACGTACTGTACAAGGAGAGTTGTGTTGATCCTTCCCACTTCCTGTCTTTTCTAATTCATTTTAGGGGATTCACATCAGATAATATCCAGTCATTATTATGTGGTTTATATCTAGCTAAAAGGGGCAAATTCATAGTAGAAAAATACCATCTTGAGCCTGCTGAGGAAAACAAACAAACCCTTTCCCCCAGATGGAATGTAGGTCCTAAACCTGCAAACATGTAATTATTCAAAAACAACTCCATAGCATTATTCAGACCATAAAAAAAACAACTTGTGAAATTGAACTAAATAAAGCTTCATAAAAATGAACAAATCCTCCACTTCTTTGTATGGTTGGAGTTCCTCATCCAAAGAAGTGGGTGTGGAAATAGCCACTTCTTAGGAACAATTTCCTTTTTTTCTTCATCTAGCCTTTTGTCTTCACAGATCCTTGGAGAGTAAGTGTTAAGTCTCAGCACTCCAAAACAGAAGTTTATTTAAGATCCCTCTCTCTCCAGTATGGAAAGATAATTTGAAATACATGATTCTGTGATCAAAAGAATTTCAGATTATGATTTTTTTAAATTATTTGTTAATGCCAATTCCTGTATTTTCTTAATAAAAATTACTCAGCTTGCGTACATGGTATTCTTGTCCAATTTTAACGTTGCTCTGAGCAGACATTAAATCCAGACTGTCACCCCATATATCTAGTGTTAATATGGTCACCTTTGCCTCAAAACACCAAACTTAAGATCTTAAAAAATTAAACCCCTTAATCAGAGAAACCTGATTTATATTTATAAAACAGTTTTGTTACTTGCCTATTTCTCCATTCCCATCTTTTTAGAGTCCTGTTACTGTGGCACATATTAAAGACGGTTAGGTCAGATCACGCCAGCGTGCGGCACATATTAAAGACGGTTAGGTCAGATCACACCATTACGTGTTGTCTCACACGTAATGGTTCCAGCCAACACCCTTACTGCAGGTATTTCCCTTTCTGTCAAGCATCACATCCCTTCACTATTGCATCAGCCTGCCTTCCAGCAATTCATTCAAAACTCCCTCTGCCAGTTTCTCCCTTTTAATTTCTTATGGCAGTCATTTTGCTGTCCTCTGTGCTGTTCTAGATCTCAGGAAAAATGCAGTGAAAACATAGGATAAGACTCTTATTCCTCATTTCTGTGGCACAGTAGCCAAGAGGCTGAAATTCAGACAGACACCAGCTCAGGCCTAGTAGGATTCTGTAGCACACTGGTTTCTCAACTTTTTTCAGATTCTAACCTTTTGAAACATTTGTCACTGGAGACAAGATACTATGAATTAAGACAGGACAATAGGTTTCACTATCAAATATATCTTGTGAGTTTCTCAGAAGCAGCTTAAGTTTCTTCCAGTGGGTCTGTGGATCACAAGCAGAAACCTATTTGAGGTAGAGGACTATTCAGGTGCTCTGTGTGTGTAATGCAAGTGTGGTTTGGTTGGTGCCCTAGAGATGTGAGAGGGGAAAAAAAAAAAAGCATGCTCAGTGAAGAAACCTCTTCAGAATACAGGGCGAAATATGTAACAAAATTCATGTCTCATACTCCAAGAGCATTCTGTTGTATATCAAGTCCCTAACTCAAATGTTGAACAGAGAAGAGGCTTTTAATGAAATGTACTCCCTCAATTCATCCTCAGACACAGATTTATAGTTTTACTAGAAAATTTACAAAATAAACAGTCTGGCATACTTTGAGTGCAAAAGAACAGATGTTTGACAAGCTTTCAAAGCAGCTGGAAACAGTTTTCCTAATGAATATCAGGTAATTGTCACTAAATCTTCCATACCAGCTCCATGTCTGCATTAAACAATCATTAAAGGCAGGTTTTAATGTTCAAGTTTTTAAAGGTTATATGAAAATATTATTTACATTGTTAAATTTGATATTTAATATGACCTTGTCCTTCCCTCAGTGGCAGTGATTGCTGTCAACTCTACAATATCATGTATTACAAAAAAATAAGCAGAGAGCAGGTTCCTAAAAAAAGCCCATGCTTTCTTTTTTTAACCCATAATAAAAGTATAACATGGTGTTGAAAATAATTTCATTTACAGAAGAAATAGAATGGTGTCCTCACAGGTAAAAAGAAATCCTTTTAGTAAAGGCAACAGAGTATTCAAAATAAAATACAAAATTTTGGCATAGGTCTACTTGCATGGTCCATGACAGGAAACCGTATGGAGAGGATGTGTAAGATGGGCAAAAGGAGAGGAGTGGGGTAATATAGTTTGTTACAGGGTTAAGATAATGTTCAGAATTCTCTATATATAGAAATACAGAAAGACATTCTACAGAGCCAGGTAGTAAAGAGCAATTGGTAATAGCTGGCCACAGTGCATTGTATTCCTTTTTCCTTAGCATTTGCTGGAGAGATACATCAGGTAGTAGCACTGCCATGCTGCCAGGTAACACCAGAATTAGGGAATTGATGAGTACAGCACTTTTACTCTTAAGAGAACTGCTAATAAAGATCCTAATAAACAAGACAACTTTTCCCAGGAACATACAAAATCAAGTTATATTGATGCCATAGGTATTATCTCTGTGCTTTAAAAATCCTTTTAGCATTTCTAGATTCATTCCACTGGAAAAAAAAAAAATCAAGATAAATCAAATACATACAGAAACACACTCACTCAAATAGCACTCGCTGCTTTTTGTACAATTAAGCTTTAGTGAAAATATACATCTTAAAACAAATGAAGTACAAATGTACAAAAATCCTTGAACTCAGATAAAAAATATATATAATACACTTTGCTACAGAGATATAAAACATTTAAAGTCTGCTCATCCTTTCTGATGAGAGTAAAATGATTTAAAGTCTAGAGGACTCCTGCTCATCATCACTGCAGTCAGATTTAAAGCAGACCTGCAAGAGAAGACAAAGAGCCAATTCAGCTGCAGAACTGACATTATTGTCGCTTTGTGTGTTTTATAGGGCACAGACAGGCTGGGGGGAGGGTGTCTTTTTTCCAGCACATTTTACTCCATATTATTTACTCCAAATTATTTGGGAATAATAAAGGAAACCGCAACCCAACCCCAAATATCAAGTTGTTAAAGCTCCATTTAACCATAAGATATTTCCTTATTTTAACTTCACAGGACAATTAACTGCAATCTTACTTCAAACCCAACCAAAAGCTCTCAATCTGTATTAATTTTTTTATGAGTCTTTTTAAACACAAAGAACCATATCTTGGGACAGCATAAACCCTGGAGATTCAGCTTCAAGAAACTGCTGTCAGGCACTAGTTTTTACTTTAGCTATGTGGGATTATTAGTCCATTTAACCATTTCTTCTATTCCATTACTGTAAGTGGAAGAAAAGTGAATTTGAACTAAAAATGACAGTACTATTATAAATTCCATTATCACTGTGGCATTTTAGAGAGGTGAATTACCAGGTGACAACAAAAAAAAATCATCATGCAATTTTAATACAAGGCCCTGTTGTGGCTACTTAATGGTATGCTCCTAGCAATTTTAAAATTCCATTTCTGCTTGAAAGCAAAAGTAATTTCTCAGAGGTGTTCTCTACTGGAATATACACATGCTTCTCAAGATAATTCCACTAAGTGTAGGCACACTGAGTAAGCAGAGTTGTGTACAACATCTTCAATTGAAATCCTTTAAAAATAGCCTATTTCTCATTAACTATAAACAAGCACATTATGCCATGTCTTTTAGCTGATAAATATTCAATTAATATACCCCTATATATTTCCTATAGAGTAGAAGCTGTGTGTGTATGAAGACTGTGCATTATCAGAATCTATAAAAACATGTATTATGTTGTTGTTTTGGTAAAGGCATTAAACTTCCTAAGATACTTTAACATTTGTTTTGTGACACTTCACTCTCATTCATTTAAGAGCCATTTTTACTTTTTTGCTTGATACACCAGAAAGCTTCACTGGGAGCCCAACTTTCTAAAGAAGCGAGTCCTAGGAGTTGCATTGCTCCAACACTCTCACTTCTGAGCTTCATCAGTCATCTGGCAAAGTTTTTATTATCTCTGAATAATAGTTCAATTATCTCTTAAGTCATCTCCCCAGAAGTTTTTATAAAAGTTGGCAAAATACGTAAGGGGTAAGACCCAAATTAGTATCTTTAGGAAAGAAAGATCTATGGCACAGCCATTAATAGCACACACTAGCTTTTCCCCAGGGAACAGCTAGGAGACAGTACAGGAAGACAGACTGTCAGGGGAGGGAAAGCTCCTGGAGTTATAAGGATTGCTACAATTTCTGAAATGCAGTGCAGGGGCAAAGCCATAATGCACCAGATTATATTAGTTTCAGTATTAAGTGAACAACTTGTTTTTCCTATAATAAAATGATATAAAAAAATGGATGGATGTTAAGGTCTTACTGGCAATTTTCTTAAGAAAGAAAAGGAAAATCCTTACCTCTCCACTAAAAAGTCTGTGAAAGAAGCCCCTCTTTGGTTTAGGAGACCTCTCTCTGTCTGGTGACACAGTACCATCAGTTTCATATGCATTTATATCTTCAAAGCATCCCGTTTCAATCATCTTTGAAACACAAGAAATATAAATGAAATATCCAGACAAGCCTCTCAATCACATTTCATGTATTTACTTCAGCTGGGTACTCCTAACAACTTCCAAACTCATCAGCCAAACTACCCTACTTGCAGAGCACCACGAAGGAAAGCACGAAGCCTACATTGACTCTCCTGTGCATCCAGCAATCTGAAGAACAGCAATCACAGAATCACAGAGTCCTAGGGGTTGGAAGGGACCTGGAAAGATCATCTAGTCCAATCCCTCTGCCAAAGCAGGATCACCTAGAGCACATCACACAGGAATGTGTCCAGGCGGGTTCTGAATGTCTCCAGTGAAGGAGACTCCACAACCTCTGGGCAGCCTGTTCCAGTGCTCTGTCACCCTCACAGTAAAAAAGTTTTTTCTGATGTTTATGTGGAACCTCCTATGCTCCAGTTTACATCCATTGCCCCTTGTCCTATCACTGGACATCACTGAAAAAAGCAACGAGAGCACTATCCTGCAGTTAAGTACTCAGATGCTCCCTTGCTTTGTTAAGGCGTTTCTTCTGCTTGATGACATAAGCAGAAGTTTTTAGAAACAGCAACTGTTTTTCTTCTCGTCTATCCTGCTCATTTTGGAGCAGTCCAGCCTAACAAATATAATGTCTCTATACCCTAGACTGATTTTTATTAATAAACATGACATTGAGCAGGAGAAGTTACTCTTCTATGCAGAACACTTAGTACCTGCATAGTAGTAGGGGGAATACCTTTTACATAGGGTACAAATAGCACCCTTGGGCAAAAAGCAGCTGGTGTCTGACCACAGTAATTAAAACATAATTCTGGTGGTTTGGAGAACCATCTATCAAAAGACAACACATACTATAATTAAAAATAAGGCAATGAGATAGAGAAGGCAATGCTTTGTGGGGGGTAAAAAAAGAGAAATAATGAAGACAGATCTCTGGAGAGAAGCAAGGGATTTTTAAGTAATCTCTGCTTGAGTACACAGAAAACAAAAGGGTTAAAACCACAATTTCCAGGTGCAGAAAGGACATCAGAAAGAGTAAATGCCAAAAGGTAACAAACAGGGATGCTGAGAAGAGGGAGAGCAGTTATTGCCCAAGTGTAGTTGGCATTTATCTGTGAGTGCCGCTGATGCACATGCAACCAAGTGAGTACACCCTGTAGAGGGAAAG